GTGCATAAACCAATGCGTGTTTACCTAATTCAAATTGTACTACAATCATGCTGCAAAATATATACATGAAAAAGATATAGCATGAAAAGGAGGTCAATTTATTGGTGCCATGTTTGCATCAAAATTCCTTTTGGGATTTATTTGTCCACTCTTGTGTGGACCAATCAATTGGCCAAAACATGGGGAGGCAAACTTTTTTTTTCTGACAAGTCCATAATAAGAATTGATATTGTAGAATATACCTCAGAATCATAAGCAATGGCCTTCTTTCGATGTAGGATTTTTTTAAGTGTAGGAACATGTGGCCGTAGCATATGAGTTGGTGGATGCCCACCGACATTGGCATTTGAAGTTTGTTAAATCATTTTATTATGAGAATACTTTAAAATGAGTTTTACTAGAGTGTGAATGAAGGGCCTGTTTACTTTGCTGCCAAAAAAAAACCTTACCAAAATTTAGCATTGCTAAAATTTTGACAACTATGATAAAATTTTGGTAACTTGCCAAAATTTTGGCAGGATTTCTTATATAGTTACCAAAATTTGGCAGCAAACTAAATGTAGCCATTTTTTTACAACTTTACCAAAATTTGATAAGGTTGAAAATGGCACCAAAGTGAACAGTCCCGAAGGACACTGTAATTCTGCCTTGTAAGTATGCAATTGTATGGTTAACAACCAGTTAGTATTAGGATATTTTACTGGGTAGGGAAATCCTTGTCAGGTTATTATCTTTCACAACGGTGGATCCAAGGCTGCTCGGGCTTGTCGGCGGATCACATTTTTTGTATTTTTTTAGTGTTCAACAATGTCTAAGATTGTATATATTTGTTTATTTGGACTCTGGAAAATTAATAGATCCGCCACTGATCTGTCAGAATCTTACAAAATTGTTTTGCAAATATTACGCCATTAGTTTTTCTAAAAAGACCTCCATCTAAATCTAAATATGGGTCCAGGAGCTGCTAGAATTGTGCGATAAAATCATCCAGATTTCAAACACAAGCTCAAAAGCAGTTTGAATGTATGACCCAGTTTATATAACCAAACAGAGATCCACTCCGGTGCCTTCTACTTGTAGTAGAAAATAATCTGAACCGTTGATCTCATTTGATCATAGGGTTCAGATCTATTTCTACTACCATCACACTTAATGGTAGTAGAATTGTAGAGGGATATTTTTGTCTATAAAAAATTATTTGCAGAGGGATATTTTCGTCTTTCCCGGGCTCCAGCTGCCGCCGCCCCACGTGCTGCTCCTCCTGCTGGCCATCCATGTCGCCACCGCCACCCGCTCGCCACCGCGACGACTCGCAAGGGGAAGCTTCATGAACTGGATCGCTGGAATGGGTTTCACGCAGAATTCCAGCGAGATGGGCCTATTCACGTTACATTAGCTCGGGTAAAGAGGAAGCAAAGCACAAATTTAATGGACCAGGCTCACGGAAGTTGAGCTACTTCTTTTCATAGCAAATTCAGGTTCTTGATTCTGGTATAGCAATAGAGCATACTGTCCATGTCCAAATTAAATTCTTATTCAGATTCAGAATCAGATTCTTGATTCTGGTGAAGTCATCCACGAAAATTAACATTACCGTGCCTGCTGATGCTGAGGCTACAGAAACTCCTACTCTCCCGCACCAGCCTCCTCAACAGCCGGCTCCACGCACGCCTGTAGCTGTCGTCGCAGTTGCCGCCGCCGCCGGCGGCGTCGCGCGAGAGGAGGTAGAACCACGCGGGGCTCCTCTGCACCGCCGCCCCTGTGCGCACGCCGGAAGTCGTCAGGGCGGCACCAGAAGCTCCTGCGGCAGGGAAGCGGACGCCGGCAGAGAAGGGAACAGAACAAGAGGGGGCGCCGGAGAGTATTGCCGCCGGCGGAAGGGAACGTGATGCACAAGCGCCGGCAGCGGAAGGAGTCGCTCTCTCCACCTCCGCTCGAATGCGATGGATGAGGAAGCGGTGGCAGCGCTGCTTTTCCTGAAACATCCGAGCGATCCACGACGAGAAATAAATTAAGTGCCAAATTTATCCCAAATCTATCTCAGAACTTTACTAATCTACCCTTAAAAATAAACGGTTCAGATTAGTTCTACTCGTAGTATAATACTACCAGTAGAAAGCACCGGAGCATTGCTCAACTTTTTTTTCCCTCGAACACTCTAAAACCATATATGCTTATACAATAACACAAGTGAGGAATTAAGTATCTCACTAATTAACCGCCACACTTATACAAGGGAATAAGCATGTCCCTAATTAGCTACTGCAAGTATGATTTAGCTGCATTCTCATTCGGTTTCTCTCCCCAATTAAACTCCAATCATTGCAACACATTTCACTGCAGCAAAACCATATTCTGCACAAAAATTATGCACAAGATGTCAAGATGTTCCTTCCCATGAGCAATCATGGAGGGATCACATTCAAGCAAGGTGGGCCCCACAATGTTAGGCCCAAACATAACACCCTGCACAACGAAATAATAGAGGGGTGGCCACGTTTGTCTCTGTTTTTTTGTCACTCAAAAAAAATAATGATTAATGAACAAGAAGAGAAATAAAATTTCCAGCTCATGTAAATTTGTCAGTTGTCTAATGCATGCATGCATACATATGCTATACTACCATGGGTTGGACTTTGGAGTCTAGACTCTTCCTCTCCCAAATATTATTTTTGAGTGGTTATGAATTGAGTGAGAGATTCTCTCTATAATTATTTTTCTCTTGAAGTCATGTGAAGCCATTAGCAAAATATTGAAGATATAGAGTGATGAGTATGATGTCCTCTTTATTCTTTTATATGGGTCTTGGTAGATAATTTATTATAAGTTTGGTTCAAGAATGATTAGTACACTGAACTGTTGGCCAAGAAAGTCAATTAAAAGTATCCTCTCAATTCTTTTATGCATTGCAGAAGGATTTATAATTTAGCTAATCTTTTGATGTGACTATTGTTGATGAAAATATTCCATCCGATATATCTTGTGTGTTGACACGTATCATTACGCAGGGAGATCAAAAACGTGGATTAAGTTCATTTTTGTCAACTGAAAAATACAGCATTGGTTTTCATAATTGGGTCATTTCAATTATAATAAAAAAAACAAATGAAACCATGGTTTTCTCATGAGCCTCTGGAAAGAGTGGGAGAAATGCTATGGGTCCTTTTTTCCAAGTGTTTGGTACTTATCCCACAAAACAGTAGTAATTAAATGTGTTATTAAATGTTGGAGCTCTTCAATTTGAACAGGAACTACTATTTTTTGCACTTTGAGAATACATTGAACCTAGATGATGTCTGCTGACTACTTCAGTACAAAGATATCATCATCAAACCATGTACAGATACTTACCTTGATCGGGACATAATTCTTTTTGTTCTCTGTAGTAATCGAAGGTGTGGAAACTGAAGAACCTCAGTAAAATTTCTTATATAAAAACATACCGAGCTTCTAACTGTATATTCATATTTATATCACCTTAGTTTAAATTTGCAGTAGAATAGGTATACCATCTGTATGAACCTTTTATTTGTTGTATGATTAAGTAGTTTTAAATACATAATTAAAGGTATAGACATATAGTTGATCTAAGGCATTTTTTTAACGAAATTGCTATACGTCCGACCTATCCATCCGACTAGTGTATGTATAAACATATATGCTGCTTGTCTGGGTCAGCATGGTAGTAACAAGCCCAGTGATTGGTTGCATGACACAGTCGGACACAGACGGCTCGGTCGTACGTGTAGCAAGATTTTTTTTTTAATTTAGATTGGAATGATAATATGGCGTGTTTAGAGAAAAATCGACTGCATACTTGCTTAAATTTTGATCTCTAACAAAGGAATTTCAAAACATACATGTTGTACTTCCCTAAATTCTTGGCCATCAACATTCATGCTGGGTAACTTAGCCTGAAAGAGAGAAGAAAAATATCTAAATCAAGTACGAGAGAAATCTCCTTTCATCACTTGGTGTTAGTTGGTTCTGATTGCACTTTTGGAAAAGTGCAAGATTCCTTGCAGGGGCATTCTTGGGAAAGGCACCCACAGTTCCATGAGACACATAGAAGTTTTACACAAGTGGTTTGTGCACCGTGCACCCGAGCTGGTTATTATTATAAGTGATCACTTGTACCATGTAGGATAAATAATCTAGGTATAATTTTATGTTTAGCAGCACAGAATCGTTCCAGCTAGCTAAGATAAGTTTTACAATAGGAGCAATCTATTTTTTTTACACCAGATCACAACCTTCATGTGAAAACTGTTGGAAGGCTTAAATTTAATTGATCGAACTAAGGCTAAACAACAAGGGAATCACTTTTTTCGAAAAAAAATGTACATAAACACTACAAGCATGCATAAATGTCAAATTAATACTTTAAATGCATTATGAATTTATTTTGACACAACCAAGCAAAAAATATTATCTAAATTATGGAGCAATTTAATGGCAAAATATGTTGAAGAACTCAAGTTGTTCGCATTAAATAAACCTTGCAATTAATTCGCCTACAATTCTTATTAGCTGAAAGCTTGTAATAATACATAAATAACCCCACATAAATTATCACATAAATCCAAACCCATGAAACACACTATACGAAAAACGCCAAATAAAATACAATATCATATTCTACCAATCAGACACATCACACGGTCTACCAAACCTACAAACCGCCAAGCGACACATAAAAACGCATGATGCCTCCCCCCGGCACCCTGGTACACCACCCTTGGTAACCTTAACAAATGGACCTATCCATCACTGAAAACAACCCTTGCATTTGCATACTAGCATTTTGCAATGCATCCCCAAAGGGCCACGGAAAGCCACCCAAGACCAGACTAGTAAAGATTCCTTCACCTTTCTTCTCCTCCATCCATCCAGAAAAAAAATATATTGTACTACTAACCTCTTTTGCACACAATTTACCAAAACACCCATGGGGTGTAAAATGACTAAAATACCCTCGCTTCATCAATAAATAACCCCTCCAACCTGAACCTGATCCCCTCCCCCTTCTTCCCCTCATCCTTTGATTTGGGTGGTTGCCATTCATCTCCATCTCTCGATCCATTTCTCCCCCCAAATTCTTCTCCAATCAGCTCGATTCCGTCCTCTTCGAGCAGATCAGCTCCCGCTGATCGAATCGGTGTCGAATTTTGGTTGTGGTTGCTGTTCTTGGGTTGGATCTTGGTGGTGAGAAAGATCGTGATTTTTGTTGTTGGGATTTGGGAGGAATTGTTTGCGCTGGAGGGAGGAGTTGAGCTCGCTGGCCATGGTTTGCCGAGGCGAGCAGAGAAGAAATCTCTGAGCTTTATGAAGATCGCCACTCACCTGCGCCGCTCCTGCTTCCTCCACTCCTTCTCGGTTGTCTTCCTCTACTGGTTTTATGTGATCTCATAATTCTGGGGGAATCATCTTCTCCGCGTCAATCCGCCATTGTTACTAGTAGTAGTAGAGCTCTCTTGTTGTTGTTCTTCTTCTTCGTGTTCTTCTTCGGTTGATTAAATAATCGTAGCAGCAGAAGAAGCAGCTGTTTGTAGACAAGGTGTTTGTGGAAATGTCGTCGTCGTCGCTGTCGCCGGCGGGGTCGTCGGACGGGGACTCGGCGGGGGTGGTGGTGGCGGCGGACCACCGGAGGGAGAAGCGGCGGCTGTCGAACAGGGAGTCGGCGAGGCGGTCGCGGCTGCGGAAGCAGCAGCACCTGGACGAGCTGGTGCAGGAGGTGGCGAGGCTGCAGGCGGACAACGCGCGCGTGCTGGCGCGCGCCAGCGAAATCGCCGGGCAGTACGCGCGCGTGGAGCAGGAGAACACGGTGCTCCGGGCGCGCGCCGCCGAGCTCGGCGACAGGCTGCGCAGCGTCAACGAGGTGCTCCGCGTCGTCGAGGAGTTCAGCGGCGTCGCCATGGACATCCAGGAGGAGTGCCCCCCCGACGACCCGCTGCTCCGGCCATGGCAGATCCCCTGCCCCGCCGCCGCGCACATGCTCCAGTACTGAACGAACGCCGCGCCATGGGAGAGTGAGCTCTGAGCTAAGCTGTGGTTGGCATCAAGAAGTCTTCATCTTTTTTCTTCTCTTGGCTGCTTTGAGAATTTCAAGGCTTTAATCTGCTGCTGCTCTATGGTCTTCTTCTACTACTCTTCTGATGATGATTTTGTGTCTGAATAAGTGATGGTCTTTTGTCTGTGTCCATGTGGTGTTTTGTAAGGGTTAATTATGTTGTTTGTGTTATGTAATGTTATAAACTATGTCATTATATCAATTCCTCTTGTGATCATCAATGTAAAATTGCGTTGGAAATTCATCTGGTCTGACGGTATGTGTTGTTCATGGCTCATGGAGTTGTTGGCTGAAGAATCTGCCAGATTTGCAGCTTCACATGGGCTCCTGCCAAAACAAAAAAAGTACAGTGACTTCATATCAAATCATAAAACAAGGTGAACAAATTTAATTTGTTTTTGGTTAGATGAACAATCAGATTGGATAAAGCAGGGGCTGATCTTCAGTTTCAAAGATCTTCCTGGATTCTGTCTGAAATCTTGATGATAACACTTCTAGTATGTTGCTATGATTTCTTGCTTGGCATCTAAGCAAAAACAGATTAAACCAACTAGGTCGAAAAATATTCTGTTTTTTCACGGCATAAAGGAGGTATAGCCACAAAGGGCATCAGCATACACTGCCTGCTCACTTTAGCTATTCCCAGTAATAAACAAGCAATAATTGTTAATGTCTGCTATGTAAGCAAGCAAAATGAAAATGACATCAATCAGGGAAGAAACCAAATCCATGATGCATGCAAAAGCGATGGTGAAAAGCACATGAAAACCTTAAAAACTCATCTTTGGCCAAACCATTGACATCACCAAATAAAACAGAACCGGTTTATAGGTCAGGAGCGATGGTGTGCCTGTTCCACTCACAATGACACAATAAATTTTCAAATGACTCATTAGGTATCCAATTTCCACCATCGCATCCACACTGAAAAGGATGGGCATAATCACAATCTCAAATGGTGACAGGAAAATAAGCAAAAGAAACTAAATCAGATTAATGTCAGGGGGAAGCCATCCAATCCCTTAAGCTGTTACTGGCATATATTAAAGACAGATTTTAAGATAATACAAGAAAAGAAGCAAATTCAACGAGATCAAATGTTCTCAAATTGCTATGCTTATTTTTCATGACAATCTCCACGGCACTAGCTTTGTCATGCTCTCCAGAGAGTTTCAGAAATAACTTGCAAAAAACAAAGGCAAAAGACTTTCAACACAAAAGACTACTCCTCGACGACAACACTGATCTGGCCCTTCTCGAGCATGTCGTAGAAGGATCTAGTCTTCCTCTGCTCGTTCCAGTGATGCATCTTCCACAGACCACCAGCGACCAGCCCAAGGGTGAGCCCAATGCAGATCTCCTTCACCACGCTCGGCCCCTTGAGGGTCGCATGTGCAATTCTGCCACCTGCCATTTGCTTGCTGTTGAGCTCAGATGCCTACAGAAAATGATAAGATTCTGTGAGCTGATTTCATAGCAGCAACAGGCCGAGAGAATATCATTAGGGCAGCAAGATACTTTTAATAAATGCAAAATGTCCATACAAACAATTAGTTCACCATTCCATGACTCTTTTTATATAAAAAGCCCCTCCAAAGGTGACCGGAGTGAATTTCACAGAAGTGACATAAAAGTTCAGATTGAAACTGGAAGAAAACTTAAATAAAACCATTGAAATAGTAGTGAAGCTATGTTAAATCCAACATATATTTAGACATGGTAAAGAAAGAGGCTCTGGTTCCTCAATGCTCAGAAACCTGTCTCAAGAACAATAATCACCGAAAGAATCATGTTCTCAAGTTCATCTCCTAATATCAACAAATTCCACCACAAATGCTTTTATGGGATATCTTAGCATTTCGAATAAAAAAATGGCACAACAAACACTTCTAGCCTTATGGTTAATCATTGCTTCTCTATGCAAAAACGAATGTATACAGTATACCCTTCACCTAACCTGCCAATCATCCAAAGAGTGAAAGACACAGCCACAAACGATGCAAAGCAAATTTGTTAGGAGGAATGTCCATATCACTTAACATCAAACAAACAGGATCACAGGTTCTCACCAAGTCACAATCCCAGCATATGCAACAATTACAGTTCAAATTACACATCATTCAAACACGAAGCCTTGAACCAAATTAAACAAATGACAACATCAAACTTGTGCAATGCAACATCATTAGGTATATTAGGTCACTATAATGAGTAGCAGTAAGTCATTTTCTTGCACCTTAATACAAATTTTAGGAGTTAAAGATAAGCTCCAACAAATGCCAACTACAGTGAAAACAGGAAATTCATTGCCAACAAAGCAGACCCAAAGAAAAAAGGATACATGACAAATTCATTACACTGAAGTTTGCATTAGAAAGTTGATAGCTTCATACAACCAAGAAATTTCCTATTTTGGAATAGGGGGACAACAGGAAGCTAACTTCTGTATGCTTATAGTGAAGCTAGGTATAACTGACAGAGATCTACCAAGATGTCTATAGGTTTATGTTGTGCTCAATAGGAGAGATTGATACCACCACCGTGGCAAGAGCTTTGCTAAAGTGCTTTGTTAAGTTAAATGTCCCATGAAAGGTTAAACAGCAGAAAAGCTATTTACAATTCTAACACCTCATAGAACACAATCAACATATAATTTCACTGCTGATGGCTGTAAATATCAGCAGTTCAGCACAAGTGCAAACAATGTAATCAAAATGATGTTCGACCAATCTTATAAGCTGCACAAACATCAGATGAAAGTAGAATATCCAATCATAATGTGCTTAACTGTTGTGGAAACAACATGGGTTTTTGAACAATTTTGAGAAGTTTGAAACTATTAAGAAAGCACTGTCGTGCCAAAGCCTGTGATGCACATGCCGAGAACAGATATAAATTTACAAAGTAACACTACAAGGATACGATGATGTAAGTGCTTAGCAAAAGGTAGCACTCGTCATGGATGCTTTCTCAAATACTAGAAGCTAATAACTCGCTAAGACAAAAAAGGCCAAGTTGGCACAAGATACGAATCATGGCAGCCTTACATATGTAACACTATATGATGCACATAATAAAACCCAGGTATGCAACACTACAGAACCAAAGAATAAGAAGCCCCCCTATGAACAATGCACAGAGGGCATGAGCCTATATCCTATGACGCGCGGCACCGAAAGGTGGAGATAGCCATTCCATTGTCTAAAGGCTATCTAGCAAGCCATCATGCATCAGAGCTGTTCCGTTCGTGATGCGGATTCGGGAAGGTCAACATAAGGGACACATCAACCAAAGTCAACGAGCACCACCACTATCACTACTAACATTTCCACACCCAATTATCACAGCGAAAAAATCCCCATTTTCCGCCACCAATTCCCCAATCCGAATCGCGGAGGCGAACAATACAGACCATCTCGTTATCATCACCACTCGCAAGAACACGAACTAATCTCACACAAAAAGCTTCGCGCGTGACCGATTAATCATACTAACAACTCCCAACATCCCAAGAACCAAATCCCTCCACGCAAATCAAATTCGAGGCGTAACCTGCCGCATCCCCCCTCCCTAACGTAAAACCTAAATCCTCCCCGCCTAGAATCCCTCAACATCGCATCACAAAACGGATCACCCACGCGAACCTAAACGTTTGCTCACCAAGAAACCAGATCCAGACGATTCTTGAATAAAAAAAGAAGAAAAAAAGAACACCACCTAGGGTTCGCGCGCTAGGATCGGCCACACGGAACAGGATACAGCCGAGCGATCGGGGGCGGGAGAACGGATCGGCGGGGGTGGAGAGGGAGGAGGGGGATCTGACCTTGCCGCCGGTGGAGGAGGATAGACGCCGCGCCGCCGCCGCGAGGGAGAGGAGGAGGAAGCCTTTGGATTTCTGCGTGGAGGAGGGGAGTTTTTGCGGAAAGGCCCTTAAAAGGGCCCGAATTAGCGGGCGGGCCCAGTCCACGCGCCCGCCCCCCGCCACTTGGCCACTGGATCGGCCACCGGCTCATGGCTCGAGCTCAGCGCAGCGGCTCGGCTCGGCTCGGATAAAATAGTTTTAAATAGGTTGATGTGAAGAAAGTAATCAAACAAGGGCATTTGGTCTAGTGGTATGATTCTCGCTTAGGGTGCGAGAGGTCCCGAGTTCAATTCTCGGAATGCCCCAGATTTTATTTTGAATTTTGATATATTTTGCCGTCTGAAACACTATTCCCAATTTTAATATCTTTGCATTCTGCAATTTTATTCCCAATTTTAATATATTTTGCCTTCATTTTGAATTTTGATATATTTTGCCGTCTGAAACATTATTCCCAATTTTAGTATCTTTGCATTCTGAGGCATTATTTCAATTTTTAATATTATTGTTATTCCTTTTTTGCATTACGCAGCATTTACAATTAACTTAGGCTAGCTTTCTTTTTTTCTCCCTCTCTCTTTTGCATTCTGCGGCATTATTTCAAATTTTAAAATTTTTGCATTCTGCAGCATTTACAATCGGGTTATACACAAACGACATGATGGCCGAGTGTGTGCATAAACTGAATGAAGAAGTGAACAAACACAAGGAACTTTGGTACAACAACTTATTCTACATTTCTGCTCCTTCATATGTGTATATGTCTACTATCTGCAATACAGGTATCAGAGGGCAGCAGCAGTACATCTGCTCACAAGCCCTGAAAACAGGTTGACAAATCTATATGTATGTAAATATGCATACATGATACACATGTATATGCACTTATTGGACAGCTGTATCTTTCTATCAACTCAACCAAAAATGTGCATCTCCGCGGCTGATGATCATCCTATCTTATTTCCACCAGTATATAGACGAGAATGCTTTCTTGAGGGAACATTATAGATCAGAGTTGATTGCGAAACCGGGAAATAGGCACGGCCCGAGCGTCCCGTCAATCAAGCGTTGCCATTGACGGCTTTGTAGCATTTCAGGCTGCAGAGAGGGAGATTCAGCTTGGAGTCCCTATACCGGTATGCGTTCGTGCATGATGGTCCGGCACATTTCTCTCGCGGGGGAGGGTAGCTGCGTGATGGATGAACGGTGATAAGAAATGATATGTCATGAGGCACATTTCTGGGGCGATTTCTTTAAGAAAGAGTACAGAGTTTGTGAGGATTACTTGCAAGGCTTGGAGTTGAAGATGCTGGGAAGGCCTACTTCTTCCGGGAATGAAACCACGGTGCCCTTTGGGCCCATGACCCACCTGATGGTGTTTTCAGGAATAGTTTGTGCTCTGGCTGCTCTCTCCTGGAAGGGGGAAGTAAGAGTCTAGTTCAGAAGCTAGTAGCAGAAGATACATTGATAAGGGTACTATTATTGATAAGGGTACTAAAACGCATTAGAGAAAATAAGGGTACAAAAACAGCATGATCGAATGATGCAATAAACCTTATCTTCTCGCTCCTTTTGCTTTCTTTCTTCTTTCTTCTTCTCAGAATCCAGGCCCAAAATTTTCCTTATAGCTTCAGCCTGCAGAGATTAACAATGTTGAGAACACCTTGAAATCGAGGCTTTAATATATGCTTAAAAGGAAGGCAGGCAAACATTTTTCTGACCTCGCTTTCTTTAGTAGCCTTCTCGACTTGCATCTTGCGCCGCTGAGCAGCCTCTGCCTTCTTGGCAAGCATTTCCGCATCAGAAAGCTTATCCTTCTTGCCTGGATTGACAAAAAACGCAAATCAAAACAAATCAGCACAGGACTGAAGGTGAAGGTGTCACTTTTCTAATGGAAAAAAGGGTAGCTAGGATAGGCATATCAGCATATGTACCTCTTGAAGGAGCTGGTGGCAAACCATCAGGGAACTCAATAGCACTGTTGCTGTTTCCATCCATCCATGATTGAAGGGCACGGCGACGTGTTGTCAGAGGCTCGCTTCTTACATTAGCAGGTGATTCAGTGACTGCTTTCTGCTTCCTGTTTTGTGCATCAAGCTCACTGTCAGATGTAGGTTCCTCTTCACTATTATCAGCATCAGTAGATTCCCTAGACCTTTTATTGCCATCCCTTTTTGATCTGGAGGTAACAAAATCATTATCGATCTCGTATGATGTGCTCTTAGTTTTAGCTTTCTTTGCAGCATTCTTCTTAGAGCTACTTCCTGTTTTTTTTGCAGGCTCACGAGTATGGACTTCCACACCTTCAGAAGTTCCAAAATCATCAAGAATATTTGTATCATAGTCCTCATCTAATTCACTGTCCAAGATGGATTTCTTAGCAATCCTCCTACTCTTCCGGACAGGATCTGAAGATGGTTCCCTGTGAACTTTGGCTGGTTGTTCTGGAGTTAGCGCGTCATCAATTGACTTCTCCTTTTTGGTTTTCTTGTCTCGGGAAGATGCCAACCTACTGGAATCTTTTACTCCTTCAGCCTGAAAGTAATTCATCTTTTGTTTCATCAATTATCATTACAGGTCACATACTCACATGTTGAAGAAAATAGAGGGAGGAGATTTGCAAAGAACCCATATGCCCCCTAAATTGGAAAAGATCAAAACAATGACCAATTGACCAGGAGAGGTACACAGCCTAGATTTATGTCATAGCAGCATCGTCTAATTTCCATTATATAAATTTTATTTATCTTGAAATCAAGTAATGAATCAACAAAGTGCAAGTAGATTACAAAACAAACGAAATGGATGACTCGGCGCATACCTGACTAGAATGCTTTTGCCGTTGCTGCGAATCTCCTGGCCGCGGAGGCTTCACAGGCAAAGACCTGGAATGCGACATATCAGGGCTTGGTTTCGCCGGCACGCTACGGCGGATTCCGCCGATCTTGAGCTTCAACTTCCTTGTTTTATCACCGGTCGACGACTCACGATTCCCTGCCGAAACAACCGCACCATGGCCGCTCTCGCCCTTCCTGGAGCTACCACCACCACCACCACCCGAGCCCTCGGAATGCAGCTGGTTGCTCCCCTTGGTCTTGTGCGAGCTTCTCGGGTTAGGATTGGAGGACATAGCGCCGCCCTCCATCGCCGCACGCCTCGCGGCACGATCCGGGGAAGGGGCATTCAGATGGATCTCTCGCCTCTGGTGCTCCTCCCCATCGGAGTTGGCATCCTCATCCGAGCCAATCGCCGACGAAGAAGACGAGGAGTAGCCGTCTCGCTGCTGCTGCTGCTGCTGCTGCTGCTGCTGCTCCACATCCACGACATGATTGCTCTCCGGCCTCGGCCGCCGCCTCGCCGTGCTGCTGCTCCGGCGCTTCCTCGTGAGCGAATTGTCCAACCTAGAGCCCTCACGGCCTTCCATTTCGCCCCTCTCTCTCATCACCTAGACATTGGGGACACAAAAGGGGAAGAGACCATGAACCCTAAATCGAGAAATTCACACACACAAAAAAAAAATTAGGATCTCGCGATGTCATGTCAGGTTTTCCCGGAAGGCAGAGATCAACGAATTCGCCATCCACAAGGTCTAAATCTCCTAAATCCTATTCTGATTTTTGGCTACAAGATCGACGGAATTGGTAGCTACATGTAGATCAAGAACCCGAAATTTGGGGGGTGGGGAGATTACATCGAGGGACAAGAAGCACGTACCACGACACGAGAGGCTGGTCGCGAAAGCCACGAAAATCGAGTAGGTCCGAGGGACGATTTGAGACGGCCCTAGAAGGAATTACACGGCCATCGCCGCCGCCGCCGCCGCCGCCGCCGCAGTTGTCCTCGTCGCCGACGACGAGGAACACAAGGATACTAGAGAAAGAGAGAGAGAGAAGGAGAGGGAGAGACGATGTAAATATTTGGCGTTTTTCTTGTGCGTGTGGCATTTTTCTGTACTTTGCACCCAATGCTAGCCATGGGATTTGGGACTCTTCTTACAGCGGAATAATTAACTATTTACCACTTTTACGACGAGTGATTTTAAATAATTTTTTATTGGATTCACATGTCATAGGTATGTGATGGCCCACATATTATAGACATCGAGTGACAAGTCCTTAATTGGCACATATTAAAAGTGGCAAATAATTAAATATCCTTCTTATAGTGGGTACCTCCAGCTCGTACCTTCGCTCACGGCGTCGCGGTTTCATCCCCGAGCCGTGCCCCTGGAAGGAGGTGCGAGTGCGCGATGCGACCCCCAGGAGGGGAATGCGTGCCTCTGGCTCCTACACTCCTTTTTCTTGAGGGACGGCTCGAGCTATACCCTGTCCCCCGCCTCCTCCCCCTATATTTTCCCTTCTTGCCTTTCTCACCTTGGCGTGGTGAGTCGGAGCCGGCAACGGGCACGGCGAGGCAAAGCCGGAGGCATCGTGGTGGTCGGAGCCAGCGACGGGCATAGTGGGGTGGAGCTGGAGACGGTTGCGGTGGGGCGGAGCCGACGGCGTCGCAGCAGGGTGGAACTGGAGGCGGTGCGAGGTGGAGAGATCTGGTCGGCGGCGTGGTGGACGGTGGCAGCGCGAGGCAGGGAAGTCGGCGATGGCGACAGGCAGGTGGATAGAGAGAGACGAGCGAGAGGTAGGTGGGAGAGAGACGGGCAACAAAGAAAAAAAGAGAGGAGAAATGGACGGTCGGTGGATGGGCTAGAAAAAATATACATGTACCTTCATGAGCTAGGATACGGCCGTTGTGGGCTAGAGCATGTTGCCTCAGATTTGATAGGGCTGGTTGGAGTACCCTCCATTGGGAGATCCGGAGATGGATGTCCCATGCCTTGGCCCATTTGACCCACATGAGGATACTACTAGACGTGGTTTACATTGTACATGCCCTTAAGGTTTTGTTTGAGTGAAAGAAAAAAGAGAATAGTAAAATACGTTAAATAAGGTGAGCTATTAACACATGTTTAATTAAATATTAATCAACTTTAAAATGATTAATATGATTTTTTTTCAAATATCTTTCTTGCATAACGTTTTCTAAAAAAAAGAAAACATACCATTTAGCAGTTTGGGAAACATGGCGTGAAAAATGATAAATCTTTTCTATCTTTTCTTTGCTATAGAACGCAATGGTCTGACTTTTAACTGGATGATTGATAGGTTATATAAATAGAGAAAAATTACTCATATGGATAAATCAAATATTATATATAAAACCAATAAATAGCTTTAAAAAGTTAGTTTTTTTTTTAAAAAAATCATCGTATATTTTGAAGTGTGACATGAATAATCCACGTCCCAATTAGCTGTTTACTCCAAAGGAATTATTGACATTCCACACGGTTAACAGGATGTTATCTAAAACTTTGGAGAAATGCAAAGACAACAGGTCAGTCAGGAAAAAAGAAAGAATAATACATCAAACTCATGACGAGGTTACCAATTTACCATGAACAGTGTAATAAAACAAATGCTCATCACTTCTAAATTTATTAAGTCATACTCAGGACGTTTCCCTCGAGTAGAGCATTCACAATTCCACCGTGAGACAACTCACACCAATGTTCAAAACTTTTTTTAAAAGTAAATTTCATAACACTAAACATAATTTTACCAAACTATCACAAAATTACAGATTTAAGGCGTTGTATCACAAAACTACATATTTACTGTGTTATTTGAGGCTAAGTATCACAAAATTATATATTTAACGTTAAAGTTATCACAACACTATATATTTTAGAGTTTAAATCCATAGCACTCCTGTTATGTAAGAGTTGTAAATGTTGTAGTTTTGTGATTAAATTGACACTTAATCTTTGTGATTAAATTTGTAGTTTTGTGAAAAATTTTATGTTAAATACGTAGTTTTGTGATATAACACCTTAAATGTATAGTTTTACGATAGTTTTATCAATGTATATGTAGTTTTGTAAATTTTCTCCTTTTTTTGAAGAACACTCAAAGAGCCACTTACAATGACAATATCAAGAAACTGAGATTGGGTGCTCCCTCCGTATCAATATGTAGCTACTTTTAAGATTTCATTTATCTTAAACGCAACTACTTCTCCACCTGCGGACATACCTATTCATCGTAAGAAATCACAACACTCTCAATTTAATTTCTTCATCTACTACTCCATCTCATTCTCGCCTCAACATTAATCTCTTTAAGAAAATGCATAGTAATTAGTTGTATTTTGAGAGGAAATGAGATTATCCTTTTCCTTTTGTCAGGGGAATATATATATATATATATATATATATATATATATATATATATATATATGTTTCAGATGATGTAAAGTCCTACTCGGTACTCACCGTATGCCTCACCTATCTATCTTTTTAGAAGCAACTTAAAAAGATATTCCAAGTCACACTTGTTCTAGCTAAGAGTTTATCGTCTCCCCAGGCAGTTCCACCCGAAGGGAACACTTCTCTACGGATACCGATTCTCCATACGCCTATGCAAGATGCAGGCTAAAAACGAGAACAAACCGAAGAGGTTTCTCCTATAGGGTCCTTAGCATAAACACTTGTCTAGAACAAACGTGCAGGAATACTTAAGGAAAATTACTTCATATTAAACAGATAAGCTTACATACGGTTTTCCCTTTCGGGAAACCCGAAGGTAGGTACAAGCAAGCTGTTCTTACCTTACACAGCGTTATAACACAACTCCTTGCTTCAATATACTATGCAAGGTAGGCTAAAGTCACTACTACTAAGAATGGTGGAATGGAGGGTGAGAGCGCGCTTGGAAGCTTTGCTCTGAATGGTGTCTTCGTTGTTGTGTTGTTATTGTTGTTGTTATTCTTGTTTTCTCAGCTGGGCAAACCCCTCCTTTTATAGAGGTCAGGGGTGGCGTCGCCTGTTACCACACTTATGCTCCTTATACCTCAGACAATATTTCAAGAATCTGTTACTGTTCAAAACTACTATTTATTCGGCTGATTACTATTCAGTTTACTGTTTATTCGGCTGATTACTATTCAGTTTACTGTTCAAATTACTGTTCAGTACTGTTCACTTCGAGAGATATTTTAACTTTAGGATCTTTGCAGGGTGGCGAATCCTATTTAGACAGCCTCAGAAGCTTGCTTCGGATGATGTAAAGTCCTACTCGGTACTCACCGTATGCCTCACCTATCTGTCTTTTTAGAAGCAACTTAAAAAGATATTCCAAGTCACACTTGTTCTAGCTAAGAGTTTATCGTCTCCCCAGGCAGTTCCACCCGAAGGGAACACTTCTCTACGGATACCGATTCTCCAGACGCCTATGCAAGATGCAGGCTAAAAACGAGAACAAACCGAAGAGGTTTCTCCTATAGGGTCCTTAGCATAAACACTTGTCTAGAACAAACGTGCAGGAATACTTAAGGAAAATTACTTCATATTAAACAGATAAGCTTACATACGGTTTTCCCTTTCGGGAAACCCGAAGGTAGGTACAAGCAAGCTGTTCTTACCTTACACAGCGTTATAACACACCTCCTTGCTTCAATATACTATGCAAGGTAGGCTAAAGTCACTACTACTAAGAACGGTGGAATGGAGGGTGAGAGCGCGCTTGGAAGCTTTGCTCTGAATGGTGTCTTCGTTGTTGTGTTGTTATTGTTGTTGTTATTCTTGTTTTCTCAGCTGGGCAAACCCCTCCTTTTATAGAGGTCAGGGGTGGCGTCGCCTGTGCCTCCTGCTTATCTCTTCGCTACTGTGGATTCACGAGAGCAGGCTAAAGTTGAGGCCTTTCCTGCCGAAAGTTTTATTCTTCACAGGGATATGTCATTCACCGCACCCTATATTGTTCCTTTATGCTTATAGGGTGTCCTTCTGGATTCCTTCTTCTGGATTCCTCCTTGAGTAGTCTTCTGAAATCTTCGTTTTTTCTTCTTCCACGCCCAAATTATTGATATTCTATTATCAATATATATTGAAAAACATATTTAGCTTAAAGAATTCTATTCATCTGGCTGCCCATGACCACCAAGATCCATACTTATCTGGAATAGTGTAGATTCCTTATCTTGAATAGTGATCTTTGTCGGGGATGACAAGATCTTTATTCATTATCTTCGTTGATTATCATTGGTGCTGATTGCACCGTGTCAATCTCTGATGGCTCTGTTTTCTGAAACCACTGAGCCAGGCTTCTGTAGTAACTTTTCTTGGAGCATTCATTTCCAAAATCCGGTTTAATTATGCGCCCTGCTCCCTTGAAGTATTCATAACTTTGGTTGTAGAATTTGCTGATAAAAATCCTTGTGATCTTGTTTTGGAAAACCAGCTGATATTCATAATCTGTGGTGATAGCTTCTTCAATTTCTGCAGCTTCAGAAAATAATCTCCAATTTTCATGATTAGCAACTGTTGTATATATTTCTTCCTCTTCATCCGATAGTTTGCTAGGACCGTCTTCTTGAAAATTAAATTGTCCCTTCATGATATATATATATAATGAATTGCTGGACGAACAGGTGGTGTGAATTTTGGTGGTATTGAGGAGAAGATAATCATGTATCTTCCATGTCCAAGTCTCCTGCATACATCTTTCACAGCGTTTCCTAAATCAGATTGAAGGATCTGATCGAGGGTTGCATATATGGAATTCACAAGACCATGATCTATAATGGTTTGGAGAGATATTTCTTCATGGTTGTATGTGGGTAGGTTCCGGAATCTTTGAAGATTTATCTCAGCTTTGAGAACCAGGAATCTATAGGATGGGTCAGAAATTGCCTGATCATCTAGTCTTAAGAGAGGGAGCATATATATGATTACTCGTATGGCTGGGTTTCTTTCTCTCCCTTCTAAGAGATCAAAGAAATAATCTTGGAGTCCAAGGAATATTTTCATTTGTCTCTCCTTAAACTTTTGCCAAACAAGATCGAGGATGTCTTGCCCAAAGCAGGATAAAGTTTGTTCCGTTTTGAAGCTTAATCTGGGTTGGAGATTTTCGTATGTAGTACTCATGGGATTTTGGCTTTTAAGTTTCTTTTTGCAAGAATCTTTGTAGGCACAAGATCTACATGGTGCTTTTGGCTGGGTCCGGAGTATAT